TTCAAGGTACAAATGAATGATATGTGGCAGTATGACGGCAACAGCTTTTATTCACATTAATGATAATTACAGGGACATATTATGGACAAACCTAGGATTTTTTCATAAAGTTTTTTTGTGTAAAACCAAATAAATACCACAAAACAACACAACAGTGTCTATTATTAGTAATCGAATGCATTTTCCTCACCTATTTATCTGCCTCAATTTTATTTAGTCAGTTTGCTTGTTAGTTTGTTGAGTCCAGTAAAGCACAGCTCCACAAAAGAGGTAAAAGCAATGTCAAATCAAACTATATTTATGTGGCCCGGGTGCCTTTTTCTTATATGTTTTTTAAAACACTATTGGTTGGGTTTAGATCAGGGGTGTCAAACTCAATTCCTGAAGGGCCGAAGCCCTGCACAGTTTAGTTCCAACCCTGCTCCAACACACTTACCTGTAGGTTTCAAACAAGCCTGAAGGACTCAATTAGTTTGATCAGGTGTGTTTAATTAGGGTTGAAACTAAACTGCGCAGAGCTGCGGCCTTTTTGGAACTGAGTTTGACACCTGTGGTTTAGATCAATGGTTTGTATTAGGGCTGTGCAATTAATCAAAATCGAATCGCAATTGTGATTTGAAACGTTGCGATTAGCTAATCGCAAGAGGCTGCCATATGAAATATTTACAGTTGAAGTCAGAATTGTTAGCCCACCTTTGAAATTTTTTTTTCTTTCCTAAATATTTCCCAAATGATGTTTAACCGAGAGGAATTTTTTTTTACAGTATGTCAGATAATATTTTTTTCTTCTGGAGAAAGTCTTATTTGTTTCATTTTGGCTAGAATAAAGGATGCTTTTAATTTTCTAAAAATCATTTTAAGGTCAATATTACTCGCCCCAGTTATTTTTTTTTAATTTTTTGGTAGAACAAACCATCATTATACAATAACTTGCCTAATTACTCTATCCTGCCTAGTTAACCTACTGTAATTAGTTAAGCCTTTAAATGTCACTTTAAGCTGTATAGAAGTTTCTTGAAAAATATCTAGTAAAATATTATTTACTATCATCATGACAAAGATAAAATAAATCAGTTATTAGAAATGAGTTACTAAAACTATTATGTTTAGAAATGTGTTTAAAAAAATCTTCTAGCTCACATTTATATGTTAGAGAAGAATAAGAAATACAATTGTTAAAAATAGCAAAAATGAAGAGAAACAAAATAAAACATTTTTAAATGTTGAAATTTTGCAGTTTGTAACTTTTTTTGCAATATTTTGCGTGAAATTAAATGTATAATATTATGTTCAGAGATTAAAATATTATTTTAATAAATATATCTGTTTAATAAATGTGCTTTGTTCAAATGCTTCAACATATATGACCTATATACACTGAGAAATAGATCAAAATATTCATTTTCAAAATGGGGTGTACTCATTTATGCTATATTGTTATATTACACAGTTGAAGTCAGAATTATTAGCTTCTTTTGAGTTTATTTTCTTTTAAAATTATTTTCCCAAATTAAAATAGATAATATTTTTTCTTCTGGAGAAAGTCTTATTTGTTTTATTTTTGCAAGAATAAAAGCAGTTTTTTATAAAAAAAAAATAAATAAATTTTAAGGTCAGTTTTATTAGCGCCTTTAAGCTATATATTTTTTTCGATAGTCCACAGAACAAGCCACAGTAACTTGCCTAATTACCCTAACCTGCCTAGTTAACCTAATTAACCTAGTTAAGTCTTTAAATGTCACTTTAAGCTAAATAGAAGTCTCTTGAAAAATATCTAGTAAAATAATATTTACTATCATCATGACAAAGATAAAATAAATCAGTTATTAGAAATAAGTAATTTAAACTATTTTGTTTAGAAATGTGCTTAAAAAAATCTTCTCTACATTTAACAGATATTGGGGAAAATAAACAGGGGGCTTACAATTCTGACTTTAACTATATATATATATATATATATATATATATATATATATATATATATATATATATATATATATATATATATATATATATATATATATATATATAAATTTCTTAATTTCTTTTAAAGTGTTTTATGGTGATCTTACTGTCTGTTTTTTGTTTAATTAATGTTGTTTCAGATATTTATGTTGAATTATTGTGCACATTGTGTATCTCAGCCTAACACATCGCTATTTTAATCAGTTGAAGGATAGAATGACAATAAATGACTTGAATTGAATCAAATTGTTTCTGCTTCTGCTAAACACAAAAGAACACTGAAGTGGAATCTCAATTGCGACCGGTTACCAGCATTCTTTAAAGTATCATCTTTTGTGTTCAACAGATTAAAAGGTAAAACAGGTTTGGAACAAATGTGAGCAAATAATTACAGAATTCTCGTTTTGAGTTAAAACAACTATCAACGTTCAAAACCGTTGCGCTTTTTAATAACCTAATATAAACCACGCTATGCATTTTTAGAATAGTGTGATGAATAGAGAGCTCACGGAGGCATTCCTTTGAAACCTTTCATAACCATCCCAAACTGTCACTTTTCATCAATTTAACGTGTCCTTGCTAAGCAACCTTCAAATGACAGTTTATTTAACAAAACATAAAACAGCAAATCATTCTAAATTATGGCCTATACATGCTATAAACCACAGAGCCCAAATCCACATATGCTACACCCATCACTTAACCAAACCACCCCATTTGTTTGAGAAGATCCCCACAGACTCATATCCTCGCAGTCTGTCATAAAACGCATATCTATAAGCCTCAATTTAGCTAAATGCAAGTCACTTTCCGAAGCAATTTCTACTGAGGTACATTGTTCACAACCACAGCTTTATATTTTCCCATGAACTTAAATGGAGGAAATAAATGGAAGCCTGCTCGCATAAGAAATCTTTATTTATTTATTTACTCATTTATTTACCGCGTTAAGTGAAGAAGCGAAATGTGTGCGTGTGTGTTTAAGAGGACATTAAAGGAGGGAGGAAGAAAAGGATGAAGGGATGGAAATCTATAGTAATTGAACTATTCTGCAATCAACATTCAGATAAACGAGTGACTCATGCAGCGGAGGGCGAAAGAGAGAGAGAACAATGCAGGACGGAGAGAAAGGGACATGCATATATAGTGACAGCAGATTTGGTAGCAGCCTGCGATTTTAAATGTCTTGAAGCCTTGAACCTGAACTTAATTATACTTACACTTAATTAATCTTCTTGGTGTGTGTGTCTTACTTCGCTGGCATTTACAAGGTTTCCTGCATTAAAGGGATAGTTCACCTCCTATCATCCATAAAAGACTGCTTTACCGTTTAATTTTGAGGTATTTATCAAACGCAGGCTCATTCTGTAAACCTACCCCTATATACATTTTTGGAGAGCGCCAAATACGCAAAGTAAATCTTTTAGCAGTTTTTGTGAATCCACCAGAGACGTCTGTGTACGCTTTTTAAGTTCTCCAATTTATTTTGCGAGTGCCATTCATGCCTGCTGTTCTTGCATAGATCCACTAGAGGCCGCTGTCGACTGAATGACTGATCGACTGACCAACCCTCCTCCTTACCTAAACCTAGGGCTGGGCGATAAAATCGATCTCACTATTTACTGACCAAACAACATTGTTGATATCGATAATAAAAAAAAGATCCGATATGTAGTTTCAGTATGGAGCAATATAGTTATATATTAAAATGTGGCTGGAAGCGTGTGCCTTGCAAACAATGCCAATAAGCTTGGGTTGTCAGTTTGTCATTTCCAATGGAGGTGTACGATATTCACAACGTGACATGGGAGCACACATGACGCAAGCACATTTTTCAGGTACACCTAACTGAAAAACAATTGTGTTGCTGTCAGAGTTTGAGGTTTAATTTATCATTATTATTCACACGTTACAGTTGTTGATCTACCTTTACCATTGCACACACTTTGTAAAGTTTTATTTATCAAGTTTAAGTTTGAGTCTCTTTCACACTTATGTTTGATTCATTACAAAGAGATCAGATATTGTGTTAATTATTTTGTAATTATTTTGTAAATATTTTTGTTTTTGCCTAATAAAACTATTTTCCTTGGTAATGTTGGTAAATTAAAATAAAGCGGTTAAATAAAAAAAAACAATAAAAACATTCATAAATGAATTGTTAAAAAATATTCAATAAATATCAATATCGAATGATAAGAAACATTATATCACGATAATTTTTTGCAATATCGCCCAGCCCTACCTAAATCCAACCAATAGTGTTTTTAAAAGCACAGATTGAGCTGCCCGACCACTTCCCTGAACTCAACTGACAGTTTAAAAAGCAATCCAGAAAAAGAAAAGCCCTCGCCTGATTTTTACTATGTTTTTAAACTTTACCACATTCTCACCCTGTTATTTACTTGTTAATTTTATTTTTTGGGCTTCTGTTTCTGTTTTACCCACTTTCTGGAGCCGTTCTTTGGCAGACACGGACCTTCATCGTGGTCAACTCCTCTCTGCATCTCAAGTCCACCAACATTCATGGTGAGCTACTGGACAAACAGGTAACAGCAGAAGAACCATCCATGCGAAGGTAAGCATTCAGCAGGTAAGTGTGACAAGGAACAGCATTAGCATTTGCTTTAAAGACGAAATACAGCCATACGTACTTCTGGCTACATAATTCATGATCTCCAGAAATGTATATAGGGCTACGTTTTCAGAATCAGGCTATGTTGCATTTATCTGTTCCAAATATACCAATTTACAGCCACATTATACTGTATACTTCACCTTCACACCTGATCTGTGTTATCAATGTGTTAATGAAGTGCACAGCAAACTCATCCCTACATAGTCAAAATATTATTTACACCTTAGCAATCACTAATTATATTAGCAACTATAATTGTATTATATTAGCCGCTAACAGACTGATAACAATGTAAACAATGCAATTACAGTAAGAGGTAGATAAATAATTCATTGAATTCATAAAAATGAGAAACGTTTGTTCACGGTTCCCTTTCCCAGTTTAAGCATGCACTTACTTTACTTGCTTTCTTATGTAACTGCCACTTCTTCCAGTGAAAGAAGAAACTGTGATCTGGAAAAAAAACAAGGAGAGAAAGAATAAGTGTGATGTAAAAGATCTGACTCATGTATCAACTCAAGGTCCATTAAATATACATCTACAGTAAGCCATTCAGGCAGGACACTCAAGTCAAAAATCTTAATTTCGCTGCACAGGATAACTAGCTAGCTAGCATTTTAGACAAACAAACAGATTGGTTTATCTAGAAAGCTGTCTGGATGGATAAACAGATAGATAGACAGACAAATAAACAGATATTTAGCTAGCTATCTGGATGGATGGACAAACAGATGGAAAACTAGTTATCTAGTTAGCTGTCAGGAAAAATGAACATATGGACGGACAAACTGGCCTAGTTTTCTAGCTAACTATCAGGACGAACAGACCGAAAGAGAAAGTTATCTAGACAGCTGTCTGGAGGGATAAATGAATGGATGGACAAACGGACAAACGGATATCTAGCTAGCTGTCTGGATGGTTCAACAAACAGACAGAAAGATAGTTACATATCTACTGTAGCTAGTTATCAGGAAAAATGGGTCGATGGACTGACAGACAGACATAAAGCTATCAGGATGGATGAATAGACAGACAAACAGACAGACAAAGTTATCTAGATAGCTGCCTGAAAGCAAAAATGGCGGACAAACAGACATCTAGACAGCTGTCAGGAAGGTTTAACAAACAGACAGAAAAATAGTTATCTACTGTGGCTAGCTGTCTGGAAATATGGACAGAAGGACAGTTAGATAGTTATCTAGTTCTTTGTCTGGGCAGCCATGCATGGACGGACTGACAGACAGACAGACAGACAGACAGACAGACAAAGTTATATAACTAGATGTCTGGATGGATGAATAGACAGACAGAAAGACAGTCAAGACAAATGCCTGCATGGACAGACGGACGGACAGACAGACAATTTTATATCGCTAGATGTCTGGATATATAGATGGATAGACAGACAGAAAGACGGTCAAGACAAATGAATGCATGGACTGACGGACAAGCAGACATAAAGTTATATAGCTAAATGTCTGGATGGATGGATAGATGTAGAGAAAGACAGAGAGACAGTCAAGACAAATGGACGCATGGATGGATAGACGGACAGACAGACAAAGTTATATAGCTAGATGTCAGACGGACAGAGGTATCTAGCTTGTTGTCAGGATGGATGGACAGACAAAAAGCCAGACAGACAATTAACTAGCCAACTGTCTAGATGGATGGACAGACAAATAGAAAGACATTATCTAGTCAGCTTTCTGATTGGCCACACAGACAAAAATAAAGTCATCCAATTAGCTGTCTAGAGTGATTAATGAGCAGACAGACAGCATTATCTAGCTAGTTGTCCGGATGGACGGACAGACAAAAATCCAGACAGTTATCTAGCTAGCTAGATCACTGGACGAATAGACGGACAGACAGACATACAGTTATCTAGCTAGCTGTCAGGACAAACGGACGGATGAACAGAAAGTCAAAATTTTTTCATTATAGCTGTCTGGATGGATAGATAGACACTCAGGAAGGCAATTATTTAGTTAGCTGCCTAAGTGGCCAGACAGACAGACAGACTGACAGACAGACAGACAGACAAAGTTGTCTAGTTAGCTGTCTGGATGGATAGATGAACAGACATAGTTTCTTAGCTCGTTTTCAGGATGAATGGACAGACAGAAAGCCAGACAGTTATCTATAGAGAAACAGGCAACTTATCTAGATAGAAATCAGGATGAATGGATAGACAGACAGACAGATATAAAGTTATATAGCTAGATGTCTGAATGGTTAGATGGATCGACAAACAGAAGGACAGTTATCTACTTACAGTAGCTGTCTGAGCAGCCAAATGGATGAACAGACAGACAGACATACAGTTATCTAGCTAGATGTCTGGATGGATTAGACAGACAAACAGAAAGTTATCTAGTTAGCTGTTTAGATGGATTAATGAACAAACTGACAGCATTATCTAGCTAGCTGTTAGAATCTATGAACTAACAGACAGTTATCTAGCATTCAGTCCCTGAATGAGAGACTTCAAATGTTTTGGGGGTGTTAAAAACAAAGTGTCTTGTCTCTGATGCTTGAATTGAATTTCTATGAGTGTCCCAGAGCTCTCTTGAGGGCCTGTTTAGCCACTCAGATCAATACAACTTCAGAGACTGTTTACACAAATGAGTGTAAGAAGAGTGCTGTGTGAGGAATGGTTGCTAAAGAGATACTTCAGCCAAAAAAACAAAATAGAATTCTTATTGATTGTGATGTTTCAGACCAGTAGGACTTACTCTAATTTGAGAAGCACAAAAGAGCATTTCGAAAAAAATAAACAGTTTTGTTCAGAAAATGAAAGTAGTTTTATTTTAATTCAAAGCTGACACCAAACTACCATTTAACTGAGTTGTAAACGGAGTTTGCTGCGGTAGAAGAAGCTGCGTGAATCTTCTCCTTATTTAACAAATGGCTTGCGCCTCAGAAGATGATTCCAACACACAATGAACGCGTGTTGGCATTTGAAGGTTTGAGACATGAAGCACAGACGCCCTTGACAGTTCCGGAGGTAATTAATAATATAATAACACTAATATTAAAATGGTTAAGGCATTTTAGAATAGCCTAAACAACATTTCAAATGTTTAACAGTGCGCTCAGCCGCTTGGTTTGTCCATTCACATGCATTTTCATCATCACATGATCTCTTATAACAAAATCACATGACTTTTTTTTTTGCACATACTGGAATTTGTTCGGTAAAAGTGTTTCCATAATAGTTTATGTGCATATGAAAAATGTTTATCTTAGGCAGTTATGCGCATACGTGTTTTTTGCACATTTTAAAAATGTATGCGCATCTTGGCGTTGCCATCAACAGATTTTTTATGCGCATATCCAAAGTGAGCATAAAAATAGGTGGATGGAAACGTAGCTATTGGGTCTATTTATTCACTTGTATAAATTCATATTTATTCAGTTTTTAAATTAGTATCTGTAATCTTGGCTAATATGAAAATGTTCATATGATTTATTTACAATACAGTCTGTAAGGTAATATTAGCTGTCTTTTAGTTGATATATCACAGTAGGGGAAATACACTTTTCCATTTTTCTCAAAAAACATATTTCTAAAGCTGCTGTTGAGTTTTTTCACCAGTTGTTGGTAACAACCAAAGAAATACACATACGCATAGAAAACTATATTAATTAGTTTACAAATTTAGTTATGTGTAATATAATAAAATCACGTAGGATAAAAGTATTGAACACATGAAAGGTGTATAAAGGCAGTGAACACCCAGACAGCAGGTGAAATCTCTTAGTAGTTATTCAGCAACTCTCTGCCCATTTATCATTGTAAATTAATATCAGCTGCTTCAGTCCAACATCTACATTATCAGGATGATAAAGATGAAACCAGAGTGGACAATTCAGCAAGGCAATGATCCGAAACACAGCCAAGGAAAGCCAATCACCTGACTTAATCCAATATAAAATACAAAACGATCAGATTTGATAGCCGAGACCCACAGAACCATCAAGGTTTTAACTTTCCATTGAAGTCTGTGAAAAAAATCACACCTGAGCAATTCATGTGAATTCATTCACCATATGAGAGGCATCTTTAAGCTGCCATCACCAAAAAAGTATTTTATATAAAGTATTGAATACATTTCAGCAGTTTAGTACTTTCTCCTTGTGTCATTCCATTGTTATTACACATAATAATTTTTCAGATTTGTGTATTTTTTGTTATTTTTTTATTTGCATTGCTTGGGTTTTACAAAAATCTGGTTTAATTACACGTCAACAGCTCCTTTGGAAGTATTATTCTCAGAAAAAAAAACATGACATGTTGAATACTTTTTCACCCAATGTATATAAGAGGCTTGCTTTATTTGCAAGTAAGTGCATGTAATTGGATTTCCATTATAAACATTAAATAAAAGCTAAAAATCTATTTGTCTTTTTTCATACATAAAGTTTTTGGTTACGATTCTCCCAAAATCATTCCGCAGAAATCTGCAGGATACAAAATTCAACACAGGCTCATTCTGAAAACATAGCCCTGTATACATTTCTGGAGATTGTGAATCACATAGCTAAAAGTACATATGACTGCATATCGTTTTTAAAACAAACGATACGCGGCAGTATGATGTCATTCCTTTTCTCACTAACCAGCTGACAGCTTAGCTACACGTGGACGGCTTTCCTGCTGTTACAAGTTTGTCCGTAAGCTCGACACGTACGTTGGCGGACTCAAGATGCAGAGCGGTGTTGGCTGCGATGAAAGGGTTCGAGTCTCATGAAGAACGGTTCCAGAAAACGGCCAAGACCAAATCAAATACCCCCAAAAAATACACAAGTAAATAACAGGGTGTGAATGTGGTCAAATCTGTAAACGTGGTAAAAATCAGGAGGCTTTTCTTTTTCTGGATTGCTTTTCAAAACACTGCGGTTGGGTTTAGGGAAGTGGGTGGACAGGTCAATAGGTGCTTTTCAAAATACTATTGGTTGTGTTTAAGGAAGGGGCAGGGTGGGGATATCGGTCGGTTTGTCAGTCGATTGGTCAGTAAGTTGACAGCGGCCTCTGGTGGATTTACGTGAGAAGAGCAGGCGTGAGGGGCACTAGCGAGACAAATCTGAGAGATCTGAAAGAAAAATCTGAAAAAAAAAACGTAGCTCCTGGGATGTATATTGTTCTCTCCAAAATTGTATACAGTGGTACGTTATCAGAATAATGACAAAATACTGTACAGAAATACAAAAAAATCCCTGAAGACTCTGTCTGGCCCTACTTATTGCCAAAAACAATCCCTTTAACAAATTATAACTGCGCATTACATTAACAAAAAGTGTTAATGAAACGACCACGACTGAGTGCCAGATCTCCTTCACACTGTTACACAAAACTATCCAATCAAATGGCAAGAAACAGATGTGCGGCCCAATTAGTGCAACCCTTTGAGAATGAGAGCTACAAATCACACACACAACCAACAGTA